ATTGATAAATCTCCCAGCTCGCAGTATTCCATGATGAGGTTGATGTGGGTCGTGGACTCGATGCAGTCATGAAGGGCGACGATGTGTGGGTGTCGTAAATTCTTAAGAATCTTAATCTCACTATAGAGGTTCTCCTTCAGCTTCTTGTTTAACCGCGCGAGCTCGACAGATTTGATCGCGACCAAAGCGCCGGATACCTGCACCATTTCCATTAGCTCAACTGCCATCCTTCGGTATGACTCACGATCATGTTTAGGAACTGTGCGACCGGCGCTGCTTTTGATTTTAAGTGCATCAAAAGAGCGCCCAGCCGCCTCTCTACGAAGGGTGCAAATATATCATGATAGGGCGTATGGTTGGGCATAGCCTTGGAGATACGAACCTTGTGCTTGCCCATATATACCTGGGCGAAGCTACCTTTGCCTATCTCGGAACCAATGATGAACTGACCAATATCAGCACTTCGAGCCCGACGAGTAGTCGAGCTCAAATGTATTCGAGGGTCAGCCATGGCTCCCTGTGTAGGTTGGCTTATGACAGGAAGCTTGGTGAATGCAGCCCGGGGGCCTATATGGGAATCGGGATGAAGTCCGTGGCTCGAGTTATCGTCATGTACACATACAGCTTAGATGTGAACGAATGGGATTGTAGTTGGTCGATGGAAAGGGGGGGATAAAGATGCCACGAGGCAGAAGGCGTTGAGGAAATCGGAAAAGAAGAAGCTAGTTGGAAGATTCGCGTGTCTCTGGACCAAAGCTTAGATAGGCGAGTTTTGGGACCTGGGACGTCAAAGTGGATGTAAATGATGTACTCCGTGTAAAGGCAGGGTATCCGATAGGTCGGTCGACGGAGAATCGAGGTCCTTAGGAATAGGAACCTTGAAAGGCGGGGATGTGTCTGTGTCTGTGTCACCTCGAATGACAGACACGGGAAGATTTAGGCCACAAGGGTTACAGCGATGGAGAGATCTTGTGTCTCGTTCGTGTCTATTGACAACCAGACAAAAACGCTGCTAGTATCCCAAGTGTTGAACTGGGGGGGTGTGGCAAGAAGAGGCAACCGTTGAAGGAGGAGAGGCAGAAGCAGATCTGATGTAGGTAGGTCTACACAGTAGGGTTACCAGAATAGGTATAATACAAGAACCTGACGTATGAAACCGTAGGCAGGCTGGTAGGTAGCTGTTATGTAGGTACCTTGTGAGCTGGACAGGGGGAGGGGATTGGATGTGCAAGAAGGCTGCAAGGAAGCAGTCAATGATAGCTGCTGCTGCTGCTGCGAGGATTCGCGAGCGGTAGCTACCTAAAGCTTGCAGTTCCAGTACGGGATAGGGTGGATAAGAATAAGTACCTAGCTTTTCTCTAGGCTTACTCGAGGGTTGGGGATGATCCCGTTTGGATTGACCGAAAATCAAGTGAATGACTCGGTCTGCACTAATATGTACTTGTACTCCAAGCTGCGCGTGTATGTCTCTCTTTTATGCCTGTGACTCTTTTGTCTTGTCTTGTCTTGTCTTGTCTTGTCCTTTATTGATAACTTGATAAGGTTGATGACGGGAGCGATGTTATTTAAATAAGTACAGCTTCAGGTTCGTATATGACACAATCCGCTTTTTTGTCTGTTTTCCGACTGGGGTTCAGAAGATCAATAATAGGGAACTGAACGGGGTTTAGATAGATGGGGCGATAAGGGCGAGTTTAATAATAGGATAACAACTTAAGGATATAAGAGAAGAGTAATTCCTTAATAGATTGGTAAGGGGGGGAAATATTATAAAAGTGAAAAAGAAAATAACAGAAAGGACCAGAGGGATATGGTCAAGAAGGTAAGAAAGTGGTCGAGGCGAGGCGATCTAATCAAAAGTTGCTCACGGGACGAAGGGGGACGAGGGACGAGGAGGCAGGTAAGGTACTATTATTTTAGTAAAAGTAAAGTAGAACTCGCGACATGCGATGGTGAACAATGAAGATCAGACTCGTCACCCGTGACTCTTCAGCATGATAACATTGATAAGGCACCGAAGCATTGACACTGCAAATCCAATCTAGAAGCCGATTCCGCTAAGCCTAGACCCACCGACTTCCCACTGTTTCTTGGACCGGCTAACGAATGAAACGGCGAGCAGCCTTGCTAATAGATGCTGGCAGATGCTGGTACCTGTTGTATTCAAGGCGCTAAATGCTTAGGTGCGAGGTGCTAAGCATCGTGCTATGGTGTGCTACCTAGGTGCGCAAGTACGATGGATGATTGTACTATGGTAGGTACCTATGGTAGGTATCATTGTAGGTATCATTGTAGGTACCTTGATGCTGGACATGGCAGACATGGATTGTAAGCGGGACTAGCTCACTCTTCTCCATTCTCTCCCCCGTTCAATTGTTCTTGGTACACGCGTTGTACATGGTACCTCCCTAGGTAGGTATCCACTTGTCATTGATCATCGTTCCAAACTTGACCATTTCCTTTGATTCTTCCGAGTCCCATCTGGGCCATCTGGGGAAGGCGGTCTGGTCTGCCACTCTATTGTTTGCATCTTCTTAAGAGGACTGGAGGATCATGTTAAGAGGAACAGAAACCTAGGAATACAATAACTGTTGGCACATGTATAAAAAAGGGGACTATCTAGGTAGGTACATGTAGGTATTGGTTCGTGTTGATTCGTTTAGTCAGCTCAAAGCGGGTTTTACCTCCTTACTCCTTATTGTTGCTTCTTTGTAGATCCGAGGCCAAGTCGCAAACAACTATACGCATTGCATCATCAATTGTCGACCGCCTATTTCCCGATTGCTTTTATATCTTACAGCCAAACCTAGGTGCAATGCTTATGAGCTTATTTTCCGTCATTCTTTGCAAATGCTACTCTGCCGTCTGATCACTCAATGAGGCTCGGCCGGGGAATATGATGCTTGTTAACACAATCATGAGGTGATGGGCAATAATTGACTGAGCTTGGACTAAAATACCTAACGTATGCGTGTCACAGATACATAGTGGCTTATGAGAAGCATCAATGTTTGGTCACAAGGATTTCCCAATTCGCTGGTGTTCGTCTCTAAGGTTTGGCGCTTATACCGTAGGGCAAAGCAACTCTCTTTGGATAACTACCCGATGAATCAATTCTACATGTATGATAAGGATCCTGAAAAAGGCGGCTCGTACTCAATCCGTCCCCCAGTCTGCTAGTCCGTCATCTTCCTATCTGTTCCGCGACCGGGATCCAGCTTTGGTCGAGTATCGGAATTACATTAGAGACCTAATTATTACCTCTTGTCTTATCAGCGATCGCAGATGCATGGTATAATCCGCGACGTCCGCAATGCCCGTGTTGCTCACGCTAAGGTTGATGAGTTGTCTTAAGCCTTGAGCTTTTGTTTCGATTCGTCAGAGATAATCGTTTGTGCATGCTTCCACAAGCTTTATCATCTACTAACTACCGAGTTTACCAACATATTCTTATTATGTAGAGATATTTCTACACACCTACTTTATTCTTAACTACCTACTTACCTTTATACTTAGATTGTCATGTCTCCTCGATTTCATTATCGCCTGGGCAATGCTACACACGCGTGGCTTCAGAGCTCCAGAGCTCCTTTCTAGATAGATTAATTTTGCAGTTGTCTCTGCAACTCTCTCTGCAACCTCTCTAGTCTCGCAGATGGGCTGTATGCAACTCCGTCCATCTCTTATGTCGGTCCTAGGCAGACCGAAGCTACACGTACTCGGTTCTTGTGGGAACCCCCCCTAGGCGGTATGCACGTCTTTTCGATCCGAGAACAAATCGGAAACCCGAAAGCCATTATTTTCCATTGTTTGTTTACTACTTGGTCGGATTTAACATGCTTAGGCAGGTTTCGAGTTTCGAGTTTGGCGCTCGCTTTAAGTTCCCGTTCCTGACTTACCCGATGGAAGGTAATTTTAATGTGAAATAGTTTCAGGGTGTGTATTCCATTACGAATTCGATGAAACTACCTCACTGCCTCACTACCTCATAGCTCATATAGCGAGTAAGCCGGGCAAAAGCAAATAATGATTCGGACCCCAACTAGCTACCACGCCTATTAAATGTATGTAGATATGTAGATCCAATGGCACGCGTAGACCCCTTACCATTACTAAGTTGGTATGCATAGAGGATACATGTAGACATGTGTAGTAGACCAATACCGAGCTTTCAAGTTGCGAAAGATCGAATCGAAAGCATCCAAAGCATCCAAAGGCATCCAAAGCTCAAATGTATCATGCAGGATAGCTGCAGTCCCCGGGCCACATGAATTGTGAGACACGTCTACTGCATTAAACTAAAGCATATGTACATAACGTAGGACTTAGTTGAGCTGGCTAGCCTGCGGCCAAGCTGTCACTACACAATCACTCTAACCTAGTGAAATGGTCATACAATAGGAGATGCAAAGACGAAATACGGAAGACGCTCAAGTCTGTCTCGTATCAGCTGGCTGTTCCATTAACAGTAATTTCTATGCTTCCCACGAAACCACCGTTACCCACACTATGCACATTGCCGCATAGAGCCCCCGCATTGTCGACTTAGAACCAGGGACGACAGATAAACCCGCCTTTTAGCGCAACACAATCTTTTAGTCGCGAGTAATCCTTGTAAACTTGTGCTCTAGTAGTCTAAGTACCTAGGAGGTAGTACATATGGAATCTATGATAGCTCTCCGTATACATGGTAGTGTAGTACCTAAGGTAAAGAAACAAACCTTGCCGGGTATATTTTATAGGGTTGACAGGGTTGTAAGGGTATGTAGTACTCGTGTAGGATACCACCCTAACCTAATCATGTTCACCGTTTACTATGTAGGTAGGTGGTCTCGCACCCTCTTACCACCCTTTTCCCACTTGTATTCGACGCAGTACGCCTTGCCAACGAGCGGTCGTCGAGTTTACAACCCAATCCAGATGCACAATCCTATCCCGTCCCATTACTTCATACGGGCCAGAATGGCGGGGTGTCGGTAGTGATGATGCGCCGCAAGAAATTAATTCTCCAGTCCGACGTGGACGTCCTCATGTTTCTTCATCTTTGGTAGCTCCTGCAGCGCATCGCCAATAATGGATATGGCCTTTTGAAGCTGCGCCTCCGAAATAACCAACGGCGGTGCGAACCGGATGATGTTCCCATGTGTCGGTTTAGCCTGATTTCCGAGTTAGCCATGTGCTTACACTGTGCTGCAAAAAGAAAAAAAGACAAAGAAAAAAAATTGAAGATAAACGTCTGCTACGGGACTTACCAGAACACCCTTCTCCTTGAGAAGAAGACATAGGTCCCAAGCTGAATGGCCATTGGCCTTCGATTCGTCGATGACGACAGCATTTAGTAGTCCCTTTCCACGGATGGTCTTGATAACTGGCGAGTTAAACGACGCTAAACTGTCGCGGAAGACATTACCAAGCTTCTCAGCCTTTTGGGTGAGCTGCTCCTCTTCCATGAGCTCGAGAGCACGTATAGAGACAGCGCAGCCTAATGGGTTTCCGCCGTACGTCGAGCCGTGAGTTCCAGGCTCGACGACAAGCATGATCTCTTTACTACCGAGGACGCAACTGACGGGATACATGCCACCAGAGATAGCTTTCCCCAAAGTAATCATGTCCGGCTTGATGCCAGCCCACTCAGAACACAGCATCCGACCTGTGCGACCGATACCCGTCTGAATCTCGTCACAGATCAAGAGCACATTATGTTTCTTGCAGAGCGCATGCACTTTGCTCAAGTAATCCTCATCGGGAACTACTACTCCCGCCTCTCCCTGAATAGGCTCGACAATGAATGCAGCAGTCTCACGCCCATGAGCCTCGAGCAACTCCTCCAAGTCGGCCACGTTGTTGTACCGAATAGGCTTACCAGTGGAGGGGGATGTGGCCCCGATGTTTGGCACATATGGCCCGTAGTTATCCTTTGACTCTGGATCGGTGGATAGACTCACGGCTATCATCTAGGTACCTATAACGTTAGAAAAGAAATAAAAATAAGAGCCACCCCACATGCGGGATAACCTACCGTGCGGCCATGGAAGTTTTCCTCGGCCCCGAACACTAATGCCTTGCCCTGGGGGACACCCTTGACTTTATAGGCCCATTTTCTTGCAATCTTGATAGCCGTTTCTACAGCCTCCGCTCCCGTGTTCATCGGTAGGACCATGTCGTACCCGAACGTGGCTTGCACCTTTTCCGCCCATTTGGGAAACACGTCATTGTGAAATGCCCTGGAGCTCAAGGTCAATCTTCCAGCCTGTTCGGTAAGAGCTTTCACTAGTTCTGGGTGACAATGGCCTTGATTCACGGCGCTATATGCTGAGAGGAAATCAATGTAGTGCTTGCCTTCAGGATCCCAAACGTCGGCACCCTGCGCGCGAGCGAAGACGACAGGGAGCGGATGGTAGTTGTGGGCGGCGTATTGATTCTCTGCCTGAATTGCAGCCTTGGTCGAAGTCGAATGATATCTAGACGAGACTGTCGAGCCATTCGAGCCATTGCCCAAGCGGGTAGTCGGAGCATCTGCGTGAGGAGACATGACTGTTAAGGTAGAAGTCGAAAAAAGAAAGAAAAAATATGATAAAAGACAATGCTTGTTTGTCTCTTGAGAAATACCTCTTGGTTAGAGGTCAATTTATTACTGGAATAGAGTATTGGCTTGAAGGCTATCCTCGGGTCTTATAGAAAGAAGCTAAAGGTTAAAAAAGAAAAGCCAAGAACTTAGAGATAGGAAAGAGATAGAAAAGAATGGTAAGGCGGGGGCGAGTTGGTAGTCGAGAGAGTTATAGTACGTAATAAGGAAGCGCGGACTGATAGCCACTAAACCCCTAAGTGCAAGTCGAAGCGGCTCGCCCAGTCGCGGCTGCTGCGATGATGACAAGTTTGCCCGGGTCTGAAGTCTCGAGTTGGTCACATGCGGTGAAGATTCCGGTGTCCGTTGCCGAAGCAAAGCGGCGTTGACAAGGACAAGGACTGTGACTAGGGCTATGACTAGAACTTGGGATGTTGTTTTGTTATTGTTAGTTTTTTTTAATACTATTTTAACTATTTAACCCTTGGAGCTAGGGAAAGGTGGTGTTGCTATTTCGGTGGTATTTCGTCAGTGAAGAAAAACTGAAAATATTTTAGTTTACCTACCTTAGACCTTAGTAACCAAAGAGAAAAAAAAAAGCCATTACTCGCACAAGAACTACAAGACCCCGGGTATACTACAGCAATCGACATTATGACACAGACGGCTGCAGTAAGAAAGTGACCGCCGAGCCCGGAGAGGTCACGGATGGCCGAACAATCTCAAATCGGAGGCCAATCAGAAGTGGTTTATTTTCAAGACAGCCAATGGTATTTCACAAGTATTCTGTTCGTGGGGGTGGTATCCAACGCTGCTGCATCATCCCTTGCCTTGGCGGCGAAATGTAGAATACGAAGTTATTTATTTAATGGACTACTATTAGATCGGATGAAGTATGCTCTTATCGGATCATACGGCTATTGAAGCAAGCCTCAAATGCGCAGCTGCAGTCAGCTGTCCGCGCTAAGCTATGTTCATAAGATGTTTTTAGGTACATACCTAGGCTGCCTATGTTAGGTACATAGGTACTTAAGGTAAGGCAAGGTGCATTAGGTAATCTAATGCACAGCTTAGCATATCTCCTCTCCGTTAGGTACCTAATCCGTATGTTATCTGCATACGTCTCGATACGGACAGTTCCGAGAAATCCAAATCTGGATTGATAATAATTGATGCTAGATCGCATCAAATGCCAGGTAGCCTCAACTCATCTACCTAGGTTAGGTACCTCTTATATACCTCTTATATTCTTAGTTTTCAATTCTCACCATCTCCTGAATTTGAGTGATATAAAATGGATACGCGAGACCTATAAGACTCGCGAGACTTGAAGATGAGCTCAGGGAAGAAAAAGACAAACGCTGGAGCGCCCAGCACTACACAGAGCGCTACTAAGAATAACGTAGCTATTGTGGCCGCTGTCCAAGTCCGAGATGCTCTAGCGGTCGTATTCGCCGTCCGTCTCATAAACGCGCTCTGCGTCCGTACCTTCTTTCAGCCGGACGAGTATTTTCAAGCTCTCGAACCAGCTTGGAACTTGGTATTCGGGGAAGATAGCGGAGCATGGATGACCTGGGTGCGTAGCTTCCAAATAGCCCCCTTTTCGAATTCTCCTACCTATTTGGTCTACTTGGTCTATTTGGTAGCCGGCTATAGCTAATATCAAAAAGGAATGGAAGCACCAGCTTCGATCGTCTATCCACCCTACTATATTCGCCTTTGGATATTGGGTCGTCCAAAACTTCGAAGGGCCAAGCATGGCTCCAGCAACCAAAGCTGCATGGCTCCTTGCAGCGCCTAAGGTCTTACAGACCGGGTTTGCTGCCTTGAGCGATTGGTATTCGTGGAGGCTTGCGGAGAGGCTGTACGGCCGTGGGAGTGCTGCTGCCTGGTCCGTTGTAAGTACTCCAATCTTTTCAAAATACTCTAATGCAAAAGTGACTCATAGCCATACGTAGCTGTTGATGGCTTTGGTCAATCCCTGGCAATGGTATACATCGACGAGGACCTTTTCGAACTGCCTCGAGACAACCTTGACGGCTGCCGCTCTCTATTATTGGCCCTGGCAGCTTCTAGGTACGGAGGAGGACGGAAATGCCGAGTCCAAGTATTCATCAGTTCCCCTCTTTGAGACCCGGTGTCAGATTAACAAGTAAGTTTACAGTTCCGAGAATGAAGGCTTCTATACTAAAAACGCAACCATGTAGTCTCCGATTATCCCTGATATTAGCCGCATTCGCTGTTCTCTTGCGGCCAACCAATATTTTAATATGGGTGGCTGTTGGCACCCTCGCACTGACTAGAGCTACGCTCGGTGGGAAATCACCACTTACTCTAAGAAACGTCCTTATCGTCTATAGGGAGGTAGTCTTTTGCGGGTGCGTAAACGACGCCGTACCATATATTTTCTCGTGATATCTAACCTTTATAGGTCATTCGTTCTTGGATTGTCCTTAGTAGCTGACCGTCTGTACTACGGAGAGTGGACATTCCCCCCCTTAACGTTCTTGCACTTCAATGTTGCTCAAGACCTCGCTAGCTTCTATGGGCAGAATGATTGGCACTATTATCTCTCCCAGGGTATACCGTTGTTGGGTACTACGATAACCCCGTTTATCCTACAAGGCCTATACAAGTCTCTAGACTCAGAGAACTCGAATTGGCCAGTCGTTACTTCTAACGCGTTAAAAGCACTATCATTCGTAGTCTTCACAAACATATCTACCTTATCGTTTGTTTCCCACAAAGAAGTTCGCTTCATTACGCCTCTTCTTCCGGAGTTCCACATCTTGGCTGCACCGTATATTACGTCCTTTTTCACTACATTAACAAATCCTGCCTCTGCTAGCTCAACGCCAACGTTGGGGTGGAAGCGGACACCTCTACTTGTAGGGGGTCTGCTTATCAACATCATCATTGGCGGCTACCTCTCCTATTTCCATGCCGCCGCACCTATCAAGGTAGTAGACTACCTACGTAACGAATTCGAAAACATCCACCCCAAGCACCTTTCAATCCCACAACCGGCAAACATCACCGTGGACGACGACTTCTCGCAGGAGCTCTTCGCGCTTTTCCTGACTCCTTGCCACGCTACGCCGTGGCGTTCTCGTCTTATTTACCCGGCTCTGCGCGCGCGCGCTCTAACCTGCGAGCCGCCCTTGCATACCTCACCGAAGTCCCTACAGCGCCAAATATACAAGGATGAGACGCGTCGCTTCTACGCGGACAAGGTTGGCTTCCTGGAGGAGCTATGGCCTGCAGATGGTCCCGGTGAGGACATGGCGAGGTATATTGTCGGGTACGAGGGCATCGGTTCTGCGCTACACGAATACTTTGACTTTTCGGGTCCCGGTCGCCGACATAAAGTCGAGCTAACGCGAGTGTGGGATTCGTGGAATGGGCTCTTTACGGATGATGATAGGAAGTCGGGACGTTTGGTAGTGTGGGCTACGGGCTTCTACGATAAGGTGTTGCCTATAGAGCCGTAAGTTGAATAGCTTACCGGATGTTGTTTAACGGGTTGGACTAGGTATCTAGGGTAGGTGAACTGTACATTATACAAGACAAAATCTTGGTATCTAGCAGAAGGAATTTACACGCCGCAACCTGAATGGCATACGGCTGTTCTTTACTTATGTCCCGCCCCTAAACTCGCAGTCTATATTGGAATACACTAGGTAGGTAGTCATGTAAATGCTCAGCCCAGGACATGGATTAATTATACTCCAAGTCATAATGTCAACTAGGACGTCGCGTAGTAGTGGTCTTACCGAATTGCGTACGAGCATAAATTGTCAAGCCCGATGGCTATAAGTGGTCTCACTATTTACGCTCCTCATCTCAAGACCGAAGAATTAGACATGGTTTTTTTTTACACGCAGGCCTAGAAAACAAGCATTGGGTTTCTAATGCCACTGAACGAGCTACATAGGTAACCTAGGTAATCAACAAAGTTGGCTGATCGTTCTGAATGCACACTACGAAAGGGCCTTTAAATCTCGATTGCAGTTCAGCGGAACCCAAGTCTAATAGCCGACCACCGAATCAAATTAATGCCCGGATGGTAGCATCTATGCCAAATACGTATATGCGCCTCCTTCTCGTTCGAGGTAATCCTTCTCGATTAGTCTGGTTGGGACGTTAGCGTAAAATCCAGCAATGTGTATGCTCATCGGACAACTTACTTTTCGATGTTCTTCTTAATCTCGGCCGGCTCGATAGCGCCTCGGCTCTTTGTCTGGTTGATTACCTCTGCGACGAGGTTGGCGTGGGTCATGGTCTTGCGGCTCTTCATGATTCTCACAATCGCGGCCTGACATTCAAACTGTCTATCCTGGGCGACCCGCTCATGAGTCTCTTGGTTCTCCTCTTTTGTCTCCTTGAGTTGAATCTGGTTTATCTTCACGCGGTATTTAGGGTCTGAGAAAGCCTTGTTGACGGTGAAAGTATCCGTCGAATTTACATCTCTCCCTTTTGGATGCTTCGTGAGAACGCGGGTTTTCCCACACGCTAAAGACTGCAAGGTACGATCGAGATCTGGCCCGCTCAGGCCGGTATTCTCTGCAATCTGCTGGTAGGTCAGGAGTCCATCCGGCTTATCCTCAATTTGGTTGAATAACGTCAACACGACAGCTTGATATGCGCTGACTAATAATTCCTTTGGCCCCTTGCCGAAACGTGCCTTAACAACGCAGTGACCAAGGGAATGTTTCCACGTAAGACGCCTTCCTGTGTGTTTGTTGGTATAGTATGCCTCGAAGCGCTCGACTTGTACCGCAACATCATCAGGTAGAACAAGCCGAGTATCTGGATATGTTGGCCATGCCGCGGCAGACAGGATATTCACGTTAAGATCTAAGCTGCTCTTGCCGTGTCCGGTCCCCTCGCACCAGGATTTATACGAAGTCATCTCGTCGCGTGCGATCTGCTGGTCCTTGAACATTTGCTCCAAGTTGTGGGTGAAGTTGGAACCACACTCATTCTTCAACTTTGCAAGCATGCCCCTTTCCGCATCTGCACTGGCGCTGCGGCCCATCAGGAGGCGTCGTGCCAAATCTTGTTTATAAAACGCCTCGAAGACATCTTTACCTTCAATAAATCGGAACAACTCTAGGGCGTGGTCTAACTGCCTGTCTAACTCGGCATCCTCGTCGCCGGTACTCGCCAGTCCGCTTTGCTCGGCATCGACGCGGTCTTGAGCATCAGAGAGCAGTGATTTTGGCAGAGTTTTCAAGCCACCTCTGAGCAACATGTCAATATACTTTGCAATCATCTCACCAACCTTGGAAGTTCCAGTCTTCCAGGCAGATAGAACTTTCCGATCGTT